TATAATGTGTTGGATGTTTTATGAACAGTGAGGAACCATACCAGTTATATAGGAAATATAAATGCATGCTACTTTCAGCGCCTCTTTCCACTTTGATTGCTTTCCTAGTAGAAAGAGTTATTTGGAGCACAGCTGCATACCAGAAAGCTAACATTATATAGAGCTAGCAAGCTGAATAGTATCTTGCATAGTGTAAACTCCCCAGAAAGCCAGAAGCTGTTAGATGTTTTAACTCGGTTATGTGAAGATGTTACTTCTACTGTCTCTTACATGAGTCATACAATATTACAGAATCAGCTTTGTCTATGAACAGGAAAATCATGAGCACTGTCAGCCTCAAGGAAGATAACTCTCTGTGTGTGATATTGTTGGGGAATACACAACCCAGTCAAAAAGATGTGTAGTAAGACAAAGGCACAGCTTATAAAAATGTGCGATTCAATTTCCAGCACAGGGCTCCTGACAAGGCTTTAGCACAATCCTGCAAGCAAATTCAGGTATTTGTTCAGAGCTTCAGTGCATGCTGGGTATACTTGCACAGACCCAGAGGGAGCACTAGTTTTTTGGATATTTATCTACAAAACACAGAGAAGTACTATTTTAGCAAGAAATGCTGAACCCCATGAAGGGTTAGAAAGAGATTTACTTTTCATTCCTTATATTTGTATTCCTATTAATTAAGAAAAAACTAATTACAGAAACAAAGCATTCTTCAAATACTTGAAGGGCTAAGGTAAAGAAGAGGGAAAGCACCTTTTCTTTCTTGCTGCAGAAAGTAGGACACAGACCAATAGCTTGAAGTTGCAGCAAAGTACGTTCAGACTGGATAGCAGGAAAAACTTCTTCACAGTTAGAATAGTGAGGCAGTGGAATAGACTGCCTAGGGAAGTTGTGGACTCTCCATCACTGAAAGCATTCAAGAAGATGCTGGACAGCCACTGGTTGGGGATGAGAGAGGCATGGGTATGCCTATGTTTTACCATGAGTATCCCATGCTTCTGGGCTTCATGGGTTGTGTGCTCTGCTACATGTGTCAGGGTGTTTTTAATCCTTCCTCAGAGGCATTGGGTACTGGCTGCAGCTAAGGCTAGGGATTTTGACTAGTGTGTGCCAATGCTCCTGCTGAGACCAAGCTGGAGGTTCTTCATTAGGGGGTCTTGCCCCTTTGCTCAGTGTAATTCTAATCACTAGATTTGGAATCAGGAAGGAATTTTACCCCATCCTCAGACTGGCATGGATTGTGGGGGTTTTGCTTTCTTCTGTAATGTGGAGTCTGGCTCTCTACTTGGGGTCTCTTGAGCGTATATTAACAACCTTTTATAGAAGCAGGACATTGGCTGCTATGGTTCATCTGCTTTACCTGTGGCAAGTTATGGTGTTGTGTGTTGTATCAAGGTTGATGGCAGCATTATGAAGTGTTTAGAGTATGGATTTTTATAGGATGGTCTGGATAGGAATGATCCTGCCTCACGCAAAGAGTTGTACTACATAACCTCTGAAGGTCCCTTCCAGTCCTTTCCCTACTAGGAAAATACACCACAGAGGGCTATATTACAGTTGAGTCTGCCACAGTTCATAGTCTGCTTTAAAGTAATGGATGCAACAAGTTTCCAGTAAAGTTCTTTATTAAATGGAGAAAACAAGAAAAGTGCTGGCTGTACAGGTAGATCTTGTTCTAACAGGGGTGGCATGAAACACAAACAAAGCAAGTGACTAACTTAAACCCTGGCAGCTACCCCTAGTCCCACAGCTTAGAGGCCAACCTTAAGTTCTTCTCTGGCACTGAGAATACCTTAATACCCTTGAGTCTACCCAACAGGATGAAAAAGAGGAGACAACTTGAGGCCAGGGTTTCCTCCTTTGCAGCCATATGGCTCTGCTTAAAGCGCCACAACTTTTAAGGCCATCTCTGGTATTTGAGATACTAAATCTCCATGCTTCCTGCACATGAATGGGTTTGGAACATAGCAATCTTTAAATTCTTGGCCAAAAAAGTACCTTAGTAATGAGTGATACTGAATATAAAAGCCAGAAAATGCTAAAATGATCTTTTCTTTTTCATAGAAATATAGATACGAATACATTGTTGGCATGTTTGAACTCTGCAGAGTAGGCAGCTGAATGGGGATCTATTATAACTACTGCTTTTTGACAAGTAGATTAATTTTTAAAAATATTTACTTAAAAAGGAAACACTAGTGCCAAGTGGACTTAAAAGCACCAATAACAGCAATTCAATGCAAACTGCATAGACTGGAATTGTAATATACAATTTTTTTTTTTAAAGACACCAAAGCAATTATTTAATGCAACACAAAAAACAATAATAAAATATTCCCAAATAATTCTTTGAGGTGTGTGAGCAAGGGTATCTAACATGGCTACAGTATTTAGCACAGATTAACCAAATCTAGGTGTATATGACAATACAGAATGTCAGAGATAGTGGACACCTTCACACACACACACAAACACACGTGCTAGATGCCAGCTCTGACTTGTGCTAATTAGCACACATTGAAGCAGATTTGATTAATTGAGTCTGCTGGAGCTAAGTTGCATACTCCAGCAGCGTTGGTGCTAATTAGCATGCGCCAGCAGCCTTGCTGTCACGTGTATTTAGTGTCCCTGCATTTTAAAATGGTGGCGGGGGGGCTTTAACAAAAGCTTGTTCCATGAGCTTTAAAGCACCCCTGCTGTCATTTTGAAGTCTGGGATGCTGCATACATGAGATGCTGCAAGCGATTTAATTAAAGCAGCTCCTAAAAGCCACTTTAATTAAATTAAAGTGCTACCCCTTCCCTCTCTCTCCATAGGGCACGTATAAAGTTGCCCAATGGTTTGAAACTGTACGCTGAGAATTTCCAGCAATTACTCCTGAAATCTCCCTATCTCGTTCCTTCACACGTAGTCCAACCAAGCTGAAGAAGTGACCCGGTACTCCAAAATTTCTTCTAACAAAATGTCCAACAGAAAGTCTAGGATTTTGGACTTCACAACTTGCAGGCTTCTGAGATCAGCTAGAAAGCAGAGCCATCCTGTGCCTCCTGGCTCTCCCTTGCTCAATGGCTTTCTCCCTGAAAATTGAAGACAGACCTATGCAAAAACTAACTCAGATTCTGTCTGTATGGCTTTTGCAAAAAACTCCAGATTGATTTCCAGTGTGGAACAGCAGCATGTGTAAATGTTAATCTCTGTCTCATCGCCAATCTCCTTGCTGCATTCAGACAGCCTGAGAGAAAGCTTGCTTGAAGCCAGGTGGATTTATCAAATTACAGTGGTGCCAGATAAAGCAAAGAGCTCATTTAACAGGTTTAGTTCAATCCAGATAAGAGCAAGGGACTGTTTCATATCAATTGTGGTTGTCATGAAAAAGGTAGTGTTTCCCCCTCAAATATGACACAGCTCAAGGAACACAGTATTTCCTCATGTTTAAGTATTGAGACATACTGAGTGTCAATATGTGCATTCACGCTGGCTTAAATTTATTGCGCAGTAAATTACTGCACAGTAAGTTGGAACAGGCCAGCATCTACACATGCAGGTGTTAAAGCACATTAATGCTGTGTGTAGACTGACTTGGGACTAACTTTCAATCCAGTCATTTGTAGCTATGATTCTTTTCAGGACTCTGACTTTTCCTTCTGAATTTTAATTTCTCCCCTTCTATCCTAGAAACCCTTGCTCCAGAGAATACAGTTCCATTTAAACACACTATATTTTCTAAACCCCCCTTGCAACTCAGTGGTACCATAAAATAATATCCGTGCATATTTACTGTGCAGAAAAGGCACACATCTACACATGAATGCCTGTAATGCACAGTAAATATGGCGACTTATGCTGACTTGAGCTTAAGTTTGACATCTGCATCATTGATACCTAACTTTAGTCACAAATCAGCCCACAGACACAGTGTTAGTGCATAGTAAGGAACTGACTTGTGCATTATTGCACAGTAACTAACTGGGCATAAATTTGATACCTGCATGGTGCAGGTATCAAATTCACACTCAAGTCAGCATAAGTCACTATATTTACTGCACTATTTTCTGGAGCAAGGGTCTCTAGGAAAGAAGGGGAGAAGTTAACATTCAGAAGGAGAAGTCAGAGTCCTGAAAAGAACCATCTCTACAAATGACTGGGTTGAACAAAGAGACATTGGTCACATAAGGCATAATACACATTCAAAAGAAAACTGCAAATGAGACTATGACACCTTTGAAGAATGGGCATTAGCAGCTGTTCCAAGCATCAAGGCCTTTGCTATTGGAAAAGTACAATACAAATACATGCCACTTAAAAAAAAACTGTGCACTTATAAGAATTTGCAAACGGCAGAAATCTCAGCAGGTGGTTGGGCCGAAGTATCTGGAAAAGATTATAATGCAAATTTAATATTTGCCTATTATTTTGAAAGTAAATGTTAAATGACAAGCTTATCAATGTCTTTCAACTGTGCAATAAGACTGAAGTCTCATATCTTCAGTATACTGTTGTATATTTGGTGTCATATCCTGCAAACAGCCAAGTTCCTTCTACTCTACTTATAGTTTAAATGAGTTGAGACTGACCAGCCCCTCTCAAGATTTGAATCCCAGGTGAACAAAGGGAAGTTAAAGTTAAAATATGGTGCATCTTTATGAGTGAAGTATTTATAAATTATTTAGTAGAGGCAGAGAGGCTCTTTATCACAGCAACTGTTCTCAAATAATCCTACTGTTCAGCATATAAGACTTTTAAGTTTCTGACTGCTTGAGCAAGCTACCCAACCATGTACTTTACTTTAAGAATTGACTTCAGTGGTGCTACTTAAAATTATGCAGGAGCACTAGTGCCTCTCTGACATAGGAACTCAAGCAACAACAGCCAATTCCAGCTTTTAAAAATGACTAGACCTTTGCCTTCAAATTTCCTGCCTATGCTGGCTAGAAGCCTACTGATTAAGCTTACAAGCCTAGGCTTTCTCCAAACTATTTGCATATTTTCTTATTTCTCACCTGTTTTATCAATAGTTAATCATTTGTCGAAGGGCATCATAGCATTTCCATTTGTCTGGGATGTAGAAAGGTTCAAAGATGTGTGGAAACGGAGTGTCATAACCACATACTCTTGAAATAGGAGCCTCAAGATTCAAGAAGCATTCCTCCTGTTAACAGATACACAAAGCAAAGTTAGTAAGACCTCCTTTCTTTCAGAAGCCATGGTTCACAAGTTGAGATCTGGTGAACTTTATAGACAGCCAGCCCTATAAACTCCAGGCTTCTATTTATGCTACAGCACAGACGCAGCTCAGACAAGAGCAGTAAAAGCACTCTGTTCCTCCTCACAGGTCCACATTAAAACAACAAATTGTATTAATATTATAGTATTTTTATTTTCTACATGTATGATATGTTAAATTGCATTCAAGTTATATTTATGCATCCAAACAAATGTTGCCAAAAAGCAGACACATAGTAAGAACAAAGAAGTAACAGTTAGTATTTCCTGGATTACCTTTAAACAAATAAGTGAATCATATAATCTAAAAGTGAATATTATTTGTTGTGAATGTCTTACAGAAAATTATTTCAGCCAAGTGTATTAGGGACTACTAAGCCAACCATGGCATGTGGAAGCAACAGATTTGCAAGTCCTCAACATTGTTCGAAAGTCACGTCCACAAACTGCAAGATAAAAATCATTTTGTTCTCATGAGAGGTCTAGAGTTGGCAAGGAAGGTAGGAGTCTCATAATCCAGGCCACCAGAAACCCAGAGTGTCAGAAGCATGTCATGCTAATCTGAGGGTGGACATGGAACATGTTTAAAACTTTAGCATTTTTAATAGCCAGCTGAACAAAGATGTTGGAAACTTCCCACCTGCTCAACCGTCAGGGTAAGCACAGGAACTGTGATAGTCTGGAATAGGTGATATGAATAGTAAATGGATCAGATATTAGAGCTAATTTTCACCTCTCAATTCTTTTTTCTTCATTGCCAGCATTTCTTTTGCAGTCATTCACTCCCTCTCCTGGCCAGGCAGGGAAAAGGGAAGAACAGACCCACAGGCCAACCTTGTTTCTATGCAGACGGAAGCAGTGTAAAGGTCTCTCTCTCTCTTCAACTATGGACAGACATTCAAAAAGCCTGAGCCTGAATTGATTCAATCTCTGCAGGTTAACCTAACCTGGTTAGGCTAAATCAGTTGATAACTGCACAGACATCGTGGCTCAGGCTAGAAGCCGGGGGGCGTTACAGCAGCCCTCCCTTCCCTTCTATAGCACTGAGCTGAGGGGAGGTGTGACCAGGCCCCAGCAGGATGCTCTGTTTAGCCCAGCAGAGAATTGATAATAGTCTTTATCCAGCATTTATTACATCATTAAGAAAACAACAGAGGGACATTACCAGCTACCTGTTGATTCTGCCTTTGTCACACTAAAGACTGGAGCCAGCATGTGTTCTGCTATCTAATATACAGATACCTCTCAGCAAGGCAGAGGGGGCAATTCCTGCTTAGCAGGGAGTGGTGAGGGGGCAGGCAGAGGAGCAGCCTGAAGCCTCTACCAGAGCTGCAGCCAGGAAGCACGAAGGCAGGGCCATCTCTGCCCATTCTAGAGAGCATGCCGGGATGCTGGGGGTGTCTGGTTTAACTTAAACCAGCAAGGGGTCTGGGACAGACATTGCATAAATTGGTTTGACCCAAATCAGTTAAACCTGATACTACATTCAACCTATCTCAAACCAGTTTCCACCATTTTCAAACTGATTCATGTGTACTGAACATATGATCTGTTACAGGTTTAAACCAGTTTCTGATCACTTAAACCAGTTTGTGTGTAATGTCTGTCCCTAGCCTTCTTGTCTTTCTCCCTTAGACCATGCTGATTAAGATGTCCTGGTCAAATTTCCCTTACCCCAAGCCTAGAAAAGGGGAAGAGGTATCAATCCCTAGAGCTCTCTTCTGCTAGACTTATATAAACAATTACTGCCAAACAGTTATTTCTCAGATTGCTTGATAGCTTTGAACACAAAGATGCCATGTAACCTACTGTATGGCAGTTGGCCTTCCTGAGTTAACATAGTACCACCCACACTGGAATATGAAGGTACAGGTAGGAGTCATTTCCAACACAAGTGAATTACAAGTGTCTTCAGCTATTACTGATGTGGAGTTGTACAACGGCAGTTCAAAGTAGTCAGATTTAGAAGCTGCAGGAAGTGTATGTCACCCAGCCAGGTTTCTTTGCATTTCCTAGTGGACAGCTCAACCTAGGAACTGTCCATGTGCACTATTTTTTCTGTGGTCTCCTTTCAAGCTTTCTTGATCATTCTTATACGAGGACAGAGTTTTAGGAAAACAGTAGAAAAAAAAAGTCATATGAAACCTATGAGTTTCGCATGGTAAATAACATACAATTTTGATATTACTAACTCCAGATTGGAATGTATCCCCTTGTTCCAGAAAATTTCACTGCTTTCCATACTGGTGTGTTTGTCTTAGCTGCCAGTTACAGTCATGCACATATGAATATCATATCCTGCTTCATGATCCATCTAAGTAACCTCACCCCTTGCTGCTTCAATTTCTTTTTATTATAATGTGTGTTTAAGTTTTTTAAGGTTTTAGATTTCTACCCCCACTGCAAAGCAATGAAATATCAGGGAAAATACAAAATGGAAATCACTGGAGAATGAAATCTTTTATCTATCCATGGAGCTGATATAGAAATCTTCCCACTCACTCCATCACTCTGACTGGTGACCTGATCAGATATCTTTATGGGAAAAGGAGAGCTTACTCCTTGACCCTACGCTGTGACCATCAAGATGATCGATGCTTTGGGACATACTAGGTGCATCTACATGTGCAAACAGCACGTAGCAATAAACTCCGGCACAGTTTCTGCCAGAGTTTATTTCTCCGGGGTGCAGCGTTTACATGTGCATCCTGGACTGTAGCATGTTGAGTCAGGAGTGGAACAGCCCCAGTTGACAGGGGTGCCAGGGAGTCTGTCTGCCATCCCAGGGTTGCTCTGCACTCAGCTCAATGTGCTGTGGAGGGGCTGGCTGGGGCAGAAGGGTGCTACAAGGTGGGGCAAGCCAGCAGGCAGCCCCTGCACTGTAGCACCCTCATTCCCCAGCCAGCCCCAGTCACCATCTACACATACATTGCAGCACACAACTCCTCCACTGTAAGACAGTACTTGTCCCAGACAGTATTATCCTATAGCAGAGTTAATTAATCCACAGTCCGTACAAATCTGAGCATGGGGTAAAATTCTTTCCTGATCTCAAACATAGTGATTAGTCTGACCCTGAGCAGAGGGGCAAGACCCAGCTGAAAGGAGCTACAGCTTTAATTCCCAGCAGAAGCATTGGCAAATCCAAGTCAAAATCCCAGCCTGGCTGTTGCTAACACCCAATGCCTCTGAGAACAGCTTAAAAACACCCTGACACATGTAGCAGAAAGTGGGGGAGTTATGCACTGTTTTCCAGGAATGCATATACAGCATAAAGTGAAGGAAACCTGTACAAAATATCAAAACATGATGATGTGGTGTGGTCTTTCTGAGGGCTTTGCAACACAAGAATTGCTATTGCTTTATCACTTTTCTGTAATTAAAACATGAGTGAAAGCTAAGAACTGGCATTTTCCCAAGTGTGTCTCGAATCTAAGGTGCCTTGAGTCTAAAAAGAGTTAAGAACCACTACACTATCAATATCAAGGAATAATGCATTTTAAATCGCACACTACACTGAAAAGGATCCACATACATTTTCTTCAGTCTGATTTAACTCCCCTTCCTGCCTTCTTTCATTTAACAGTAGCAGAAGCAAAGAGTTATGAAAATCCCTAATTGCAGTTACCCAGCTGCTCAAAAGAAATCCCCCTAAAAACAACATCATTCCAGATTGACATGAAACTATTTTTTGCCCCAAACCTCTAGAAAACCAAAAAAAAGGGGGAGAGGGAAGGGGAGGGGAGAGGGAACTTGTTTTGGGCCAAACAAAACAACATTTCCTTTGATTTGAGATTATTAATAGCATTGATTCTATTTCTCTGTATAAGAAATTGCAGGTATTGCCTATATATATTGCATTATAATGTGCTTATCTTTTCATAACATTTGGAATTCTATTTAGATATAAAGCTCAATTGAATACATTCATCATGCTGCTTCTGGGATTTAAAAATACTGAGTTTGCATTGTTTTATGCTGATTATTCTCACATGCTCACATGCTTTAATAAAGAAATGCAATTACAGTGATTAGATATGTGTGTCAAACTATACATGTACTGCATCAATTGTAAATTATTCATTTTACAGAAAAAATGAGAATCTATTACAAGCGGTCATATTGAAGAGAATTCCAGTCCACCTGCAAAATAACAGCAATATATACCGAACTTCTTTGCTCGTTTCAAATTCATTCATATTAAACAATCCTTTACAGCCTTTTTTAGGCATTCTGCACTGTTTAATCTCCCCATTTAAAACTACAACTTGAAGAAACACAATTTCAAAAAGCTGCATAATGAATATGAAATAATACAGTTAAGTGATAATATTAATAGAACAAATCTGTGGTCCAGTAATGGTCTCGCCTTCCTGAGGTAAATGGAGTGGTAAGGCAAAGACATTTACTTATAAAGTGGTTGCAGTTTCACATTCAATGAATGCTATCACTATTATACTAAATTTAAAATAAAAACAAACCTTAAGTCTTCCAAAACCACCACTTGGATTTTCTTCTCATAGGGAGAAAATCCAAAATGGTTGTTACAATCAGCCCTTACACTGTGGTTTTGAAACGTTGCAAGTTTCATATCACATTTTAATAGCCTTTCAGTTTGAATCCATATGCTACTTAGGAAGTTTTGCAGCTTTCAGAAGCGCAAGTTGGATTCTCCCAGTGACGGAATTAAAATGAGATTCTCTGGGGCATGATGGAAGCTGTTAATTGATGCAGTCCAAGAATGATAAAGCAAGCAAAGCGATGGAACTGCTACAAGGTTTAGGTCTGGGAGAAGGTGAGGCAAGCGGAACCTTAAGGTGCCTGTACACAACTGCGGAGGCTGCTCTGATGTGCTGTAATTACAGCGCATTGGAGCAGACTCGATTAATTGAGCCTTCTGGAACATGGTAATTACCACGCTCTAGC